GGGGAGCTCGGCTGGACTCCTCTTTCGAGCGTCTACGGCAAGGGAGTTGAGCTATTGAAGTCGAGGATGCCCAGACATGGAGATTCTTAGCATCCGACGACGGAAGAAAATGAAACGAAGTTACTAAAAATATCATTCTTTACTAAAAATCTTGAAAATAGATAGGAATCTGTAAGGAAGTAAGACCAATTCTACAGTGCCCCAGCGTGTTTTTGAAAATTTATTCACCTTTTGCGAAAGTTTTAAGGTAAATTTTTCACTTTTTCTCACGAGACAAAGGTTACATGTGAATTCGTAGTGGTTTGTCAGCGGCGGCACGGTACCAGGGACCCAGTATCCCCCCCCCCCTTTGTGGCAGGCCTGCGTATATACCTAAGTCATATTTTCTAGAAATCGAGACAAGCTTCTTAAAAGAATTCAATCCAAACTTAAGTCAAATCTCCGATGCAAAATATACGCAGCTAAAAAAAACGCGTAGCATCCTTGTGCGAAATCTCTCCAGCCAAACCTGATGAAACTTTGATATGTTGCTCAGCTAGGTATTCTGATCAAAAGCTCGCAAGGGCCCAAAGAGATCCAATGTGCGGTTTTAGAGATATTCGCCGTTGTATATGCGTGAACGGAGGTCCCCTAGTAAAAATGATCACCTAAAAAATAGGTGATATCACCTGAAAAATAGGTGGCATTACCTAGAAGCTTGGTGATATCACCTAGAAGGTAGGTGACATCACCTGGAAGGGAAGTGACATCACCTGGAAGCTAGGTGACATCACAAAGGTCAAATTTGAGGTTCAGGATTAAGTAAGGAAAAATTAAATATTACCTACCTATTTATTAGATAATTTCATGGATACATAATAGAACACTTGCTTTGTACTAAACATGTTTATGGCTACAGTGGAAAAAACTATTAGAATAAATATATGTGAAAAAAGGAGATTTAGAACATTACGTAAAATGAAAACAAGCAGTGAGCTCCAACACAATGTGTTAATAAGGCGCGTCATTAACTCGCACATATCAACCCCTTTAGTTTTCATTTACAGAGATTTCTAAATAGGCAAGTAGCACAACAAGAGAATTCATACGATCCAACACTTCAACGATGCACTTTGACGACCCCGTGTATTGTGAATGTAAAAAGCTATTCGAACGAATTTAAGTTTTTTGATCTGCCTCAAGCAAAATCTTATCAGATTCTTGAAGAAAAGTGCTACGGAAGAATTCAAGCGAAGAAAGGAAAAATTCTGTCAAACTCCTGAAAGATAAAGTCGATTTAAAGGTATTTTGGGGCTAAAAATCCCAAATCACCGGTAGTATAAATCCCTTTATATAATTGAAAAGAAATTGACTCGATATAAATACAATTGCTTTAAACATGTCTTGATTTTGTTACTTTAAACGTATTTCCATGGGAAGAAGTTCAACCATGTCTATGCTTTATTCATTCATGAATTGAAAGTAAGAAATCTACATCCCGAAAATCTACCGATTTGCCGTAAATAATCGCAGAAACTTGATATACCAGGTCGATGAACCCACTCGTTGAATTTACGAATCAATTTCGTGAGTGCATATATGTAAAAGTCAATATGCTACAGTCATTTTGGGTGCCTTTATTTTTCAAGAAACAATTACAAGTAATTTTAATCCCGAAGAACCATCAATTTTCCGTATAAAATCGAAAAAATCAAAATATGTCCACTCCCTGACGTGAAAATTAGATTCTACGTGTGAAAATGCTTATGCATCGATATGCTGAACAGAATCCATGTCTATTTCTCAGACGTTTGTGTTATTATCAGCTTCCCTTTAAACCCCGGTTCGATGGCCGAATCGGCTGTCCAAAAAGCAAGCCATTTTTGAAGGGTTCTATGAGAAATTCGTGATATTATCGGCTCTCAGGAAATCACCTCATGGCTAAAACTGGTGGTATAAATGTTTGAGTGCTTGATATAATCGTATTTAAGAAACTGAGGCATTAAACTATGGAGTCAATTTCTTTTTAATAATATGACGGGATTTACTACCGGTGATTTAGCTATTATAGCCCCAGAATACTTTTAAAGCGCCTTTGCGTTCCCGAATCTCGACGGATTTTTTTTTGGCTTAAACGAATCAAGAGACACTGTAGTTAAACATATAAAAAAATTCGATTTGGATATGTAAAACATGTTTAACTCGTTGAGGCACACTGTGTATTGTATGGAGTACTGTAGTTGCTATTCGACCCTTGTCTTCAGGTCAAAATTCTTACAAGGAAGTCCCTTGCAAGAGGCGAATTTTTTGTAATTACTCCAAATTTTTTCTCCGTTATATAATGGAATTGCTTGTCAAATTCTGAAGTCAAATTTATCTAATTGTAATTGATACATTTCCTTTCTTCCCCTTCATTTTATTTTTTGTTTGGAGAATTCGAGGTTTTGTTAATTTCTTCAGATTTAGAATACTGTGACTTCTCTTCTATTCGGCCAATTTTTATGAATGAGACCTCTTTTAATTCGTGTTTTGACGGAGAGTAAAAAAAAAAATGCTAAGTGCACAAGAAACAATTTTTTTTGAAAATTGGATGAATCCTAGCGTGACGGTGAAATGGTTAATCAAGCGTAAGTAATTGGGCGAGGGGCTGAGGATCCCGGCCGCCTGGCGACCCTCGTCAGCTATTGTTCGTCGGACGCAGAC